GCATAAGCTCAAGCAACTACACACATACACACATTGCAAAAGCAAAGACGCTCTGCTTCTGCATCGCCTCTGCTTCAGTCCATTGCACTCTCACTTTTTCTATACTGATGATCTCATCAATGCACTGCACATCTCCCACCCGGCCCTTTCTAGAGCATAATCTCAAGCTAAAACACAAACTCAATCAAAGGTAAAACTCTTGAAACTAAACACACTAACAACGCACTGCCCATCTCCCACCCACACCTCAAGAGCAGAATCTTTAACACACTCACATTGCAAAAGCAAAGACGCTCTCAACTTTTCGCCTCTGCTTCAGTTCATTGCACTCTCACCAACTACAGTGGGAAGAGAGGATCAAAGACAAAAATTTGTCAAATTAGTAGACTTTTTCGATGCTGATGATCTCATCAATGCACTGACCATTTTTCCCCCGTCCCTTTCTGGAGCATAAGCATAAGCAGGCACTACAAACACACAAAATGCAAAAGCAAAACGAGAGCTTCAATGCTCTCACCGATTACGGTTCGTTCACCTACAAATAAAAGGCCGAATGCTGTGTCAAATTTTAGCTCCCAGCGCAGACGCACGTTTTTCCGTGCCGTGGAGTAAAAAATCTTGGAAAATAGTGGAAAATGTTCGGAAAATTATATAAAAACCCGTGTGATAAGTGTAGCAAGTGTTTATAATGAAAATGTGGCAGAAAATCTTGTAAAAAGACGGAAAAGTGGTGAAAAGTGTAGTGAGAAGCCGAAAAAGAGATGAAAAGTGGTCGAAAAGGCAGGAAAATGCAATCCCATGACTGTGGAGCGCCAAAGGTTTCGAAATAATGAAACAAAAAGATCGCAGCAAGTGTGAAAACGGCGCAAGACAAAATTCAGCAAAATGCATGGCACCATGCGATGATGTCACCTTTCAGCTTGATTTTTTTCTTTTTTTTTTCTTTTCTTTTCTGAGAGAGTTGGAGCGAAGCAGGCTGGTCATAAAGGAGGAAAAGGGTGCAAAGCGGCAAGAAGTGGAAGGCGATATTGGCAAAGTGAGTGAGTGAATAGACAAATTATCAAATGTACCGCAGGAACTACATATATAAAGGGCGGAAATGTTGAGCGCAATGCATGGCAGCAAACAATTAGAGCTTTTTTTTCTGTGAGTCAAGTGAAGGATGGTCATCAAGACGGCAAGGAGTTCATGGCGGCAAGCAGCGAAAGGCGATATTGGCAAAAAGTGAGTGAAAGTGAGTGAGAAAATATATAAAATGTACCGCAGGAACTATATAAAGAGCGGAAATATTGAGAGCAATAAATGGCAGCAAACAATAAGAGTTTTTTGTTCTGTGAGTGAAGTGAAGGATGGTCTTAAGACGGCAAGGAGTTGAAGGCGGCAAGCAGTGAAAGGCGATATTGGCAAAAAGTGAGTGAAAGTGAGTGAGTGAAAAGAAAATCTATAAAATGTACCGCAGGAACTATATAAAGAGCGGAATGCATGGCAGCAAACAATTAGAGTTTTTTTTTTCTGTGAGTGAAGTGAAGGATGGTCTCAAGACGGCAAGAAGTTGAAGGCGGCAAGCAGCGAAAGGCGTTATTGGCAAAAAGTGAGTGAAAGTGAGTGAGAAAATATATGAAATGTACCGCAGGAACTATATAAAGAGCGGAAATATTGAGCGCAATGCATGGCAGCAAACAATTAGAGTTTTTTTTTTCTGTGAGTGAAGTGAAGGATGGTCTCAAGACGGCAAGGAGTTGAAGGCGGCAAGCAGCGAAAGGCGTTATGGGCAAAAAGTGAGTGAAAGTGCGCGAGTGAAGAGAAAATGTATAAAATGTACCGCAGGAACTATATAAAGAGCGGAAATATTGAGCGCAATGCTTGGCAGCAAACAATTAGAATTTTTTTTCTGTGAGTGAAGTGAAGGATGGTCTCAAGACGGCAAGGAGTTGAAGGCGGCAATCAGCGAAAGGCGTTTTTGGCAAAAAGTGAGTGAAAGTGAGTGAGAAAATATATAAAATGTACCGTAGGAACTATATAAAGAGCGGAAATGTTGAGCGCAATGCTTGGCAGCAAACAATTAGAGTTTTATTTTCTGTGAGTTAAGTGAAGGATGGTCTCAAGACGGCAAGGAGTTGAAGGCGGCAAGCAGCGAAAGGCGATATTGGCAAAAAGTGAGTGAGTGAAGAGAAAATTTATAAAATGTACCGCAGGAACTATATAAAGAGCGGAAATATTGAGCGCAATAAATGGCAGCAAACAATTAGACTATTTTTTTCTGTGAGTGAAGTGAAGGATGGTCTCAAGACGGCAAGGAGTTGAAGGCGGCAAGCAGCGAAAGGCGATATTGGCAAAAAGTGAGTGAAAGTGAGTGAGAAAATATAAAAAAAAGTACCGTAGGAACTATATAGAGAGCGGAAATATTGAGCGCAATGCTTGGCAGCAAACAATTAGAGTTTTTTTTTCTGTGAGTGAAGTGAAGGATGGTCTCAAGACGGCAAGGAGTTGAAGGCGGCAAGCAGCGAAAGGCGATATTGGCAAAAAGTGAGTGAAAGTGAGTGTAAAATATAAAAAAAAGTACCGTAGGAACTATATAGAGAGCGGAAATATTGAGCGCAATGCTTGGCAGCAAACAATTAGAGTTTTTTTTTCTGTGAGTGAAGTGAAGGATGGTCTCAAGACGGCAAGGAGTTGAAGGCGGCAATCAGCGAAAGGCGATATTGGCAAAAAGTGAGTGGAAGTGTAAGCGAAAACCATAATAAAAAGGCAAAAAGTGAGTGAGTGAAAAGAAAATCTATAAAATGTACCGCAATAACTATTTAAAGAGCGGCAGCCATAAACAGGCGAGACTTCGAGTGAGAATAAAAACAATGTAATGCAGCGAAAAAATTATACAAAATCAAAGCGACAAGCACTCAAACGCTATAAGCAGTGCAAGACGATATAAGACAAAAGTGAGTGAAAATAAGAACAATATAATGAACAGCAAGAACTAAATAAAGACCGGCAAGCAGTAAAAGCCGAGAAGAACCGAAGAGAGAGTTGAGTCGATTTAAATGAATGGTGAGTCCGCACAACATGATATGTTTATATATTACTTTATTTACTATAATTATAATAATAATTACTGATGAAAGTAAAATATTTTTCTACTGTATTTTGTTTATTTGTTTTGACATATTTTAGCTCTCTATCAAAATCTACCTGAAATCGAAATATTTATGGAATTGTTAAAGGAGGGGATGCGTCGAAAGATTTTGAAGATTTCTTGTTCTCATTTACAGCGTTTCCCGCTTTTTCGCTTTTTCTTCTGTTGCTTTCATCCATCTCTTTCTCTCCTTTGTTCGTTTCGGGATGACTTTTGATTAAAAAGTAGCCAAAAGCGAGCGAGAGTCTCTGAGTTTTCATGGCCCTTCTGCAATCGGTGATTGATGGCTGGAAGGCGCACTACGGATTTTCCCGGGCAATCAAAGTCACAAAATGTTTCGCAATTGACATGTAATCGAGAGGGGGGGGGGCAGGGGATGGAATCGCTGCGTAACGGAGGAGGAGGAGCATCGCTTTCAGTTTTTCGTCGGCGCGTGCAAATTTCTAATTTCATTAAAATTTGTTCAAAGGCCCCACCGTTCGATGGCCCGTTTGGCCCAGACGTTGACAGACACAAATCGGCACAATAGACGTCAGAAAGCTCTCTGTCTCGCTCACTCTCGCCCGAAACGGCGCAGAGAGGAGGTGGTGACATGGTCCGCTTGTGGGCGAGACAGGCTTTTGGCAATCAAAGTGCGCCGATCAAAGTGGAAAATCGATTTTAATTGCAATCTAAGCGCCCGCCAAAAGCTTCAACGCTCGATTGGCGGTCGAGAGGGCGTACGCTACTGTGTGTGTGTGTGTGTGTGTGTGTGTGTAGACAGGCAGTGGGCATTAACTGGGCGTGGCATGTCGGCCACTCGGCCCATAATTGGTTCTATTTTTTGGGCGTTTTTCTTCTTCCAATCCCAATCCCCAGTCCAGCGAAATATTGAATCCCAATTTTGATGCTACTGGCAGTTTTCGTGACTAATGTGTCGAATATCGAGAGATTTTGGTTTTTTCATTCGGTTACGGTCGCCCCCCCCCCCCCCCCCCCCCCCCCCCTCCGCCTTTGCTACTCCGGAATATATGGCACTGCCATTACAACAACGTCGTGTCAATGATTGTCGCTCAAAGGCAAATCAATCCAAACTGTCAAATTTTCACACGCCCAATGAATGGCCCTCCCCCCCCCCCCCCCCACCCACCGATTGGCGCGGGGATATGGGCAGTATTCCATCGACAAAAAGTGTTCTTTAAAAGAGAGAAACATTAACAAATATCTGATCGAATTGCAGGTTTAAGTAAAATAATAGATGATGTCTCTACTGTAGTCATATTCGAACTGAAACATACAATAAAATCTCCATTTAAACAGCAGGTGGCGGCTGTTAAATGTCTCCAATGAAGCGTGGCAATCCGAATCCTTTTAACATACACGTCTGACCGTCAGGTGGTGTGACATCATGCAATATGCAATCGAAAAGAAGCGAATGTATCTGTATCTGCAGATTGTCCGAAGGCATTGAACATTCCATTACGTAGATACAAATCAAATTGGGCTGGGGGGTGGGGGGAGAAAAACGGATCAAACAGCATGGAGGGGGTGTAAAGAATATGCAAAAGAAAAATCAAATTACCAGAACTTGAAAAATCGCCAGACATCAGTAGACACATAAATCAGTGGAAACCGAAACCGAAACAGAAAATACGAAATGGGAAATGGGAAAATGGCAAATGGTATAAGAAATTGTTACCGCTATTTAACGGTTTATTGATGCTTGGCTTTTAGCTGAAATTTATTGGCCCCAAAATTGGTTTAAAAATTGTAGAAAATTCCGAGAAAATGTAACATAAATTTTTGTACAAGTTTTCCCCGACCTAAGCACACTCTTCCCCCAACTTCATTCCATTCCGTAGTTCCCAACAAAATATATATTTCCACCCATAAACATCACAACTGTTTGGGCTCTCAACAATGATCGCGGGCACTTTAGAAGAAGATGTCGATGGTACCAGCACATCCACAGGTAGCACCACGGTGTCGGCAGAGCCCTCAACGCTACACCTGGCCACCTATGCCAGTCGCTATGCGGATATAGCACGCCTCAATCGTTTAAAATTCATTGCCAAAGTGTGCCCCAAGCTGCAAGTGCCAGCCCTAGAGCTGGCCATCAATCATGTCAAGACATTCACATACAATGTTCAGCTCTACGATGAACTCTACAGGACCCTGTGCGAGGCCATTGAAAAGCGAGAGGCAGAAATCGAACCGAGCGACGAGGTGGTTGCCAGCACATCAAAGGCGTCGTCCTCCTCGGAGGCGGGATATATCAAGAAGGCCGGTCGTCGTGTGCCCTACGATGCCTTTTGGGTGGAGGACAACACCATGGAGTCGACGCTCCTGCAGCAGGAGCTGGATGCGGAGCTGCAATACAAGAAGGCGAATTCGGGCAGCGCCAAAGTGAGGCGCATACTGGAGGAGATCGGGGACTATCATCTGAAGGGCTATAACCTGAAGCTGGCCGTCAAGTATTACGCCAGGGCCAGGCAGTACTGTACCAGCACCGATAATGTGATCAATATGTTTCGCAATCTGATCAGGGTCTCGATTTACATGGCCAACTGGTGGCATGTCCTCACCTACATCGAGGACGCCAAGAAGTACGCCCTTGGCTTTGAGAATCTCGCACAGAAGGTGCCGCCCCAGCTCAACTGTGCCGCCGGATTGGCCAATATGGGCCTGAAGATCTATAAAACGGCTGCACAGTGCTTCCTGCAGACGCCGTTCGATCAGTATGATTTTGATAAGATTGTGGCCCGCGAGGATGTCAGCTACTATGTGGGTCTGTGTGGCCTGGCCACCCTGGACCACGACCAGCTGGCTCTGGACGTCATCAATTCGGTGGGTTTTCGGCCGTTCTTTCAGCTGTCGCCGCAAGTGTTGTCCCTCGTGACCACATTCCATGCCGGGGACTTTGAGCACTGTCTGCTGGTGCTGAACCAAATCGAGGATCACGTGAGATTGGACTATTATCTGGCGCCGCATGTGGATACGCTGTTCGGGAAGATCAAGGCCAGAATTCAAAAGAGAAGGGCCCCCCCCGCTGTTCCCGCTGCCAAAGCACCGCAAAGGTTAAGGGTCATTAACGAGCGAAGAAATATTCGCATGGACTGAATATTGATATATTCAATTTTCTGGGTTTTTCAATGGGGAGGGGGGAAGGGGAGGTTCTTTAAGTTATAGTTATGCTAATAAAATTCAAGATATAGTAAATCCTATTTGCATGTATTTATTTTTAAGATTTTATCTTTAAATAACTACCACACCTCTAATTTAATTTTCAGATATGGAAATGTTTTCATTTCCAGAAAAATATCATCGTTTTGTTTAGGCAAATCCTCAAGTTTTTCAAGAGAAGGGCTGTCGAGGGGCTCTTGGATGAAACAATAAAAATATTTACCGTATAATAATGACAGACACAACCGAAAGGAAATTATTATTACAAATCAAATTAAATATATGGGTTTTAAATACAAGCATTAAAAAATTAAATAGAATTCACTTTGATTTTAAAATAAATCTATTCATAACTCTTCTTGAAATGGACCGTACTTAATTTAATTATAAAACACTTTTAAATTGTATATTATTTTAATTGTTTCTGTATGTTCATTATTATTGTTTAATTATTTATTATTTTATGTATGAAATATATATATTTTTTTTAAATAAGAAATATATTTATTTTATATACATATGATATTTATATATATTTGATAAGAAATATATTTATTTTAAAAACGAAATCTATTTATTTTGTCCACGAAATTTATTTATTGTACTTATAAAATATATTTATTTTAAATAAAAAATATATTTATTTGATTTATGAACTATAAATTGTTTTTAAATTAGAAATATATTTATTTTATATATGAAATCTATTTATTTTAAATAAGAAATATTTTTTATTTTATTTATGAAATATATTTATTATTTTTATAAATATAAATATTAAAATAAATATTATATAAAATATTTAAAATATATTTATTCTATATATGAAATATATTTATTTTATATATGAAATATATATATTTTAAATAAGAAATATATTTATTATTATTATTTTATTTTAATCAAGAATTTATTTATTTTATTTGTGAAATAAATTTATTATTATTTTATTTATTAGTTTTATATATTATATAAAAAGTATAAATTTAAATGAATTATTTCTATGGTTCCGTTTTCGGAGCAAATCTATTCATAAACATTTTTAAATATTCAATTTCTGGTTTCGGAACATATTTTAATTTCCGTTAATACATTTTTCTCCGAACATAAACCTGCCAACATCTGAAGTACATTTTCCCATCGCTTTTATTGTTTTCCCTTATAATTTTATCATCTGCTCAATCACCAAAAGTCACAGAGCACCAGGAGGGGGGCCCCCCACCCCCCCCAAGGGTGATGCAAATCTGTGTGTATGTTTTTTTCCGTTCCGCTTAGATATTTTAAGTTTTAAGGGAGATGCTGGCAAATCTTGGAAGTGGACAGGATGTCGTTGTTGTGGCATCGTTGCATAGAAATCACCACCCCCCCCCCCCCAAAGTTTCCATGCCGCCGACGGCAGTCAATTTTCTTGTTTACAATGGAGCAGGAGCACACACACACACACACGGGGCGGGGACACACACACGCACACACAATGGCAAATAACAAACAATTACAACATCGCAGGCGTTGTCTCCTTCTGCCTTGTTGTTGGTGTTGTTGGTTTTTCGCCGCAATAAATACAATTTGCATGACAAAATAGCAAACAACGGCAGCTTTTCCATGAATGTATGCATCTCTGTGAGGGTGTGTGTGTGTGTGTGTGGTGGGTGGGGGGGTGAGTGCATGTGTGGGGAAGCGTCTGCAGGTTCACTCAGCCAAACAAAACTACACACAAAAACAAGTAGAAACGTAGAAACATGTCCGATATTCAGGGCCAAGGATACACCCTGTACTTGGATAGCCGGCAAAACTGGAAAACCTAGAATATTTTGGGCTTATAGAGTATTTTTGAGTACAATCCAAAGACGAGAGACGTGGCACGACCAATTCCAGCAACAAAATACACAGTCTTTTATTTGGCAAACAGAGAGACGATGTTAGAGAGACTTAGAGGATTTATCTTCCCTTGGAGAACTAATATACCCCTGCTTACTCTGCAGCTACTGGGTATAACAATCAACTGGCCCGTCCAATGCAGCAACAACAACAACAACAACAACAAGGGCTGCTGCAAACGAGGAGAGGCCTGGCAGTTAGGCTGCCACTGCCACTGCGGCTGCTACTGTGGAACAACTTATGAATATTCAATTTTACATAAAAGATTTTTTGTTGCTGGTGTCCTTTTGCAGGCTCTGCCTGCCACTCTGCCTTGCAGCCTGGCTCCTTCATGCATGGCATGAAATGTGAAAAATATTGGCCAGGTCGATACCAAAAAAAAAAGAGGAAGGGGTTCAGAAGTTGTATAGCAAAGGAGTTGTATTTCCAACACTAGAAGAAAACGATGAAAAAAAAGTAGGTCCATCACATATTCGTAGCTTTCACTCGATAGTTCTTGGGCTGGTTTTGGGTGGGCGACGACGGCGGCGACGGGTACTTGGATTTATTCATCGCCTTCAGCGCTTCGAGGAGATCCCCCATGTGCAGCTCAAGGTTGAGGCAGTCCCTGATGGTCTCGTCCTCAGTCGTCAGAGTGTCGCGCATAAACTTGCGCATGCGATGGTGGCAGGCTTGACGGCACAGCTCCTTCAGATCGCTGCCAGAGAAGCCCGCCGTCTGCGTGGCCAGCACATTACAGTCCACCGAAGGATGGAGCTGTTCGTCCTTCAGGATCAGATGCAACAGCTGCTCGCGCTGGGTCGTATCGGGCATGCCGATATAGAACTTAGCCGGCATGCGTCGAATGATGGCCTTGTCCAGGTCCCCGGGCCGATTGGTGGCACCCAGGACTATCACAGTCGAGTTTTGGGACGTGACCAGGCCATCCCAGAGCCGCATAAACTGGGTCTTCATCATGGCCGTGGCCTCGTGATCATTTTGGCGCCGTGCACGCAACAGTGAATCGATTTCATCGATGAATATGATGGCGGGCTCCAGTTTCCTGGCCAGCGAGAAGACGGCGGCGACCAGCTTCTCGGATTCTCCGTACCATTGGTCCGTAAGTATGGCCAAATCCACATTGATGAATCGCATGCCCGCCTCCTTGGCAATGGCCTTGGCAATCAGTGTCTTGCCACAGCCGGGCGGACCGTGGAGCAGCACCCCCATGGGGGCACGCCACAAATGCGATTGCTTTAACAGCTCCCGGTGTCGCACGGGCAGCACCACCGTCTCCTTCAGCTCCTGGACAATGTTATCGAGACCGGCTATATCGCTCCAGTGGATGTCTATGTCCTCGGGTACGACCAGACCAGCGGCAATAAGCATCTCATGGTCGGTCAAGTCATCAATTTCCACCTGTGGTCCACCAGATTTCTTCACGCTTTCAACCAATTTTTTCAACTGCTTCTGGGCCCGCTTCTTGGCCTCCTTGCGGGTTTTGTCAACGAAAAAAGCGTTGTCCATAAGACAGGAAACTCCAGTCCACAGAAGGTATCCACCTATTAAAATAAAGCTCGCTTTCACCGCATCTAAGAAGAGATTTCCGCGTGAAAAGTACGACGATTGCTCAACGCGACGCGGCGACATTTTGTTTAAAAAATAGTCTATTGTATCCATTGGTGTGCAACTATTTTTGAAACCAGAGAAGAGATGTCTACAGATTAGATTTCTACTAAAACTGAGCCGAAAATAAAAGTAAATAAATGGCCTACTGCGTGGTTACGAAATGCACTAAAAGTGGAAAAACATGTGGCAGCCCCTATCAGCCAATACGGCATCCCTACGGTATATTAATAAGCCATAAATGTACGGCCACACTGGAATATAATACCGAATAATACCGAATATACGGCGACTGAGGAAAGCATGTAGATCGAAGCTCGATCTTTCGAAAAAGCGCTTAAAGGAGAGGAAGTTGTGTTCGTTTCACTGTCACAAATATATCACAAAATGATTAAAATTCCATAGCTTCATGATTTATAGCATAATGTAATACAATTAAAATAAAATCAAATACAAATATTTTGAATTAAATCTAAAAATTATGAACAAAACACAAGAATTTTCCTTCTTTTTAAAGGCAGAACAAAAAAAAAAAAAAAATAGAATATAAATATAAAAAAAATTAATTAAAATTTAAATTGAAACTACCTTTAAAAAATTAAAAATAAAAAAATAATACCAAAAATATTAAATATATTTTAAAAAAAAGTTAAATATCAATCAGTAAATTGATTAATAATTCTAATTTTTGTTCTTAATATATATTTTTTTTATATTTTTTTTTATATTTTTTTTATATATAAATGTTTTTTTTTTAATAAAAGTTAATCCTCTGGCAGGATAGCTCTCTAAAAAGTAGAGTTGCACTTTTTTCAAAATCATATTTATTTTTTGTGATCTCTGGCTTATAGAAAATTTGCACCTTTCCTGAAGAACGATTTCTGTCAGTGTATCTGCGTTTTAATTTCTGTTGAACTTTTCCTGTTTTGCCCGTAGCTCTCGCTGTCTCCCTCTATCCGGTGCGAGGACCTGCGAAGAAATGTAAGCCAACAAAAGCCAAGAACAAAAAAAAAACAAAAAAAAAAAGAGTTGGGAAAAGTACAGCATAGAGAAGGGGCAGGGACTGAGGGCAGAAGATGTTTTCTAGTTTAAGCATCTTTTTAGCGGAAGTCAATGTAACAAAAGATAAACTTGTCCAGCCAGCTGCCAGTTCCTTGTACTCTCCAGTCCGTAGTCCTCTTCCTAGGATGCTGTCGGTATTCCAGCAGCAGCGGCAGACTAAAGGCCAAGGCATAAGACGGTCAAAAGTATTAACTAAACACTGCAGCAATTTATCTTGGTACCCCTTTCGCCGTCCCGAACCGAACCGAACCGAACGTAGGTCAGTTATGCGCTTTGTCTTAAAGTTTATATATTTTTTTTTTATTTATTTATTTATTTTTTTTTTTTTGTTGTTTCCTTCCCAGAGCCCAGACCGCTGAAGAAAATCGCTGTGCTGTGCAGGAGCTTCCTTCCGCATTACAAAAGAATTACTCAACACAATGTCTGGGGCAAAGTTTTCTCAGCCAGCCCCCAGATCAGTTTTTGCCACCC